TTTTTTTTTTTTGAGACAGAGTCTCAAGCCATCACCCTGGGCAGAGTGCGATGGCATCATAGCTCATAGCAACCTCCAACTCCTGGCTTAAGCGATTTTCTTCTGTCAGCCTCCCGCCACAACGCCCGGCTATTTTTTGGTTGTAGTTGTCATTGTTGTCTGGCAGGCCCAGGCTGGATTCAAACCCACCAGCTCTAGTGTATATGGCTGGTGCCTTAGTCGCTTGAGCTATAGGCACTGATCCAGTTTTTTCTATTTTCAGTAGAGATGGGGTCTTGCTCTTGCTGAGGCTGATCTTGAACCTGTGATCTCAGGCAATCCTCCCTCCTCAGTCTCCCAGAGTGCTAGGATTACAGGGGTGAACCACCGCACCTGGCCAACCAATCCATTCTTACCAACTACTATTAAACAACTGTTATGGGCTAATATTTGTATACTGCATACCGTGTTTCCTCAAAAATAAGACACTGTCTTATATTTATTTTTTCTCAAGAAGACACACTAGGGCTTATTTTCAGAGGATGTATTTAGCACAGCTATGTGGCATAGGTCTTATTATCAGGGTAGGGCTTATTATCCTGCTAGAGCTTATTTTGGGGGAAACAGGGTTGTATTTATAATCTCTACAGCCATTTACAAAGTAGCTACTACCATCCTCATGTTTAGAGACATATGAAACTTTCCCAAACTTAGAATAAACAGGAATTTCAGTCCAAGTCCAAAATCATCAGGTATTTTCTTTTTTATTGAGATGGGGGTCTTATTATGTTGCCCAGGCTAGTCTTCAACTCATGGCCTCAACGGATCTTTCCACCATGGCTAGAATTACAGGCATGAGCCACTGCACCCAGTTCCACCAGCTATCTTCAACATTTATTGTTTTGGAACAATACCTGAATCTCATAGGAGATAAAGGTAGTTACTGTTGCCCTTGATGCAGGCACAACTTATATCCTCTCTCCCCTCATCCTCAAGCCTCCTAAAATGTTGAAGAATGCTACCAAAATACCATTGCTTTGAGTCATGCTACCTCTCTCAAACTTTTTTTTTGGAGACAGAGTTTCAGTTACCCTGGGGTTGAGTGCTATGGCATCATAGCTCACAGCAACCTCAAACTCTTGGGCTCAAGTGATTCTCTTGCCTTAGCCTCCCAAGTAGCTGGAACTACAGGTGCTTGCCACAATGCCCCACTATTTTTAGAGACAGGGTCCCGCTATTGCTCAGGCTGGTCAAGAACTCCTGAACTCAAGCAATCTAGCCACCTTGGCTTCCCAGAGTGCTGAGATTACAGGCATGAGCCATCTCACCTGGCCTTCTCTCAAACTTTTTACTCCTGTCAATGGCTTTACTACATCTTACAACTTCGAGTCCTATGATTTGTACTTCATTATACTCCATGTCGGTGAATCCCCACCTACTGCTGACTACTTTTGAACATTTCTATAATTCCCTTTCTAGTCTGACTTCCACAAAGTCTGTCTCTGAGAATGTACGAGGCAGCATCCTTCGTAAAAAAAAAACTATAAACAGCCTAAGTGACCCTCACCAACAGCAAAGTCTTGGTTCAATTGGTTACAACCATCTAATAAAAGTGCCATTGAGATGTTAGGAATGTTAAAGATCAGGCTGGGCACAGGGACACTCACCTGTAATCCCAGTATTCTGGGAGGCCAAGGAGGGTTTTTGAAACCAGCAGTTTAAGACCAGATTAAGCAACATAGTAAAATCCCATCTGTACCAAAAACTTTAAAATTAACCAGACATAGATCTGGGCTCAGTGGTTCGTGCCTATAAACCTAGCATTCTGGAAGGCAAAGGCAGGAGGATGGCTTGAAGTCAGGTGTTCGAGACCAACTTGAAGAAGAGTGAGAACCTATCTCTACTAAAAATAGAAAAAATTAGCTAGATGCAGTTGTGCATGACTATTGTCCCAGCTACTACTGTCCTTAGGTAGGCTGAGACAGAAGAATGGCTTGAGCCCAGGAGTCTGAGGTTGCAATGAGCTATGATTATATTACCACACTCAAGCCCAGGTGACAGAGTAAGATGTTGTCTCAAAAAAAAAAAGAAAAAAAATTGGCCAGGTATGGTGGCATGTTGCCTGTAGTCCCAGCTACTGGTGAAGCTGAAATAGGATCACTTGAGCCCAGGACTTCCAAGATGCAGTCTTCAGCAAGCTCTGATTGTCTCATGGCACACTCCAGCCTGGGTGACAGAATAAGACTGAGACTCTGTCTCAAAAAAAAAAAAAAA